AAGAGTGTGATAACAGAAGATACTGAAAACATATACTTATAGGTTCCGGAGTTATAAAATAAAATGGCTTGATATCAGGGCAAATTTCTTTTAGAATCTTATTAGGATTTTACCTTAAATTTTAGAATCTTATCTTAAAATTGCATGTGAATTGTGTTTTCTACTCCATAAATCTATCTTCACATAAAAATAGTTATTTATTCTCCAAATCTTCTAAAAAGTGATGTTTCTGGAAGATGTGTCATGTTTATCCCATGGATTTGCATATCCCATATAGCGGTGCCCTCACAAGAGCATGTACCCCAATTAAAGGTGCATAAGCCTACAGACCAAAATTCCTATCTCTTCCAGGTATTCAAGGGTTTTTATAATCTGACCCTTAATTACCTCTTTAACCATTTCTTGCCCAATACAAACCCTCAGCTCTAATTAAAACGATCCACTTTTAAACATCCTGTATATAATTTCCTAATGCCATTCCATTTGTCTAGAATGCCTCTTCAGACCTTTCTGCTTGGCTAGGTCTTATTTATATTTCGAGACACAGATAATCGCATTCCTCCCCCATCCTCACAAATATCCTAGAGTAAAGGGAGGCTCCTTCCTCTGAAACCTTGCAGCATTCCTGTTTGTACCCCTCAACTGCAACATAGCAAGTGAAGACATAAAAGTAAATTTGGCAAACATAATAATAAAAATTGTGGAAAAACAGTAATAAAAACTCCAAAAGCATCAAAGATAGTCAATCTACTTGATTTTAATGAATTACAGTAGTTCCCTTCCCCCATCCCCCATCTGCAGTCTTGCTTTCCATGATTTCAGTTACCCATAGTCAAGTGTGGTTCAAAACTATTAAATGGAAAATTTCAGAAATAAACAATTCACAAGTTTTAAATTGCTGTCCTAAATAGCATGATGAAATTTCCACCATCCCACTTCACCCAACCCAAGATGTGAATCATCCCTTTGTCCAGTATAGCCACACTGTATATGCCACCCACCCATTAGTCACTTAGTAGCCGTCTAGGTGAACAGTGATCTGTAGTAGTATTGCAATGTTTGTGTTCAAGTAACCTTTATTTTACTTAATAGTGGCCTTAAAGCACAAAAGTGGGGATGCAAGCAATTCAGACACGACAAAGAGAAGCAATAAAGTGCTTCCTTTAAAAGGTGAAAGTTCTAGACTTAATTAGAAAAAACATCACACTCTGAGGTGGCTAAATTGACTGTAAGAACAAATCTTCTATCCATGAAATTGTGAAATTCACTCTAGTGAATGAAAAGAGAAATTCATTCCAGTTTTGCTGTTGCATCTCAAACTGCCAAAGTTACAGTTCCAGTGTTATGATAAGTGCTTAGTTAAGATAGCAAAGGCATTAAATTTGTGGGTGGAGACATGACATCTTCATGGCTCGATGATTTTCTTTATGATGTGTTGTCAGGTCTATGGTGTCCTAACGCTACCTACAATGCCTATGTCATTCACATCACATCTCTTCATCTCATCACGTAGGCATTTGTATCATCTCACATCATCACAAGAAGGGCGAGAACAGCACAATAAGATATTTTGAAAGAGAAAGAGACCATGTTCACATAACTTTTATTACAAGATTGTTATAAATGTCCTATTTTATTATTGTTGTTAATCTCTTACTGTATCTAATTTATAAATTAAACTTTATCACAGGTATGTGTGCACAGGAAAAAAACAGTATAATACAGCAGGTCCTTGAATAACATTGTTTCATTCAATGTAGGGAACTTAACTCTTGTTTATATCAATTAGCCTATGGTAAAATTGGTTTTGTTATATGTTGTTTTGCTTAACCACAGAACCTATCAATGACATTAAGTGAGGACATACTGTATAGAGAGAGTGTGGCACTATCCAGGGTTTCAGGTATCCTCCTGGGACATATCCCCCACAGATAAGAGGAGACTACTGTACTACAAAATTTCTATACCAAGAGCTTAGTCTGAACCAGTGTGAATTTTACTGAGAACAAGTATACATATTTCTCATTTCAGGATTACTTATTGTAGTACATAATTTATTTACCCAATCTCCATCATCTTAGAATGTTTTCATGCTTCTATCTTCCTGATAGTATGAGTCGTGGAAATCAATTAACTCACCCATGAATCAGAAATGTATCCATTAACCAGTATTTACTGAGTATCTACTATTTGCCTCTTTTATGAAACCTAATCCAAATATGTATTATTAAATATTCCACCTTCTATTATAGGATAATCAAATTTCCTTCTCATTTTCCTATCACTAACAACCACAAGCATTGCATTTATGCATGTACTACTAAGTGATTGTTCAACACAGCAGTTTTCATAACTGAAAAGGAACCCAATAGCTGGCCTTTCTAGTCCAAAGTGCGCTCACAGAAAATCAACTAGGCCAAAATTATTCAACTGGTGTTAAATATGCAGTTCAAGGTCATGAAAGTAGAACTAACAAACTCCCATAGTAAGCCTTTATAAAAT